CCTTGAGCATCCATGATCTAGTCATCACTATTTGGCCCTTGTCAAGGTTGCTCAATGATCTCTTCTCTTAACTTTATGGACCATTCTTTTGACTTAGCCATATTTCTAACATGCAGTCATATGTGACACTCAACAAACACCTATTTCAATTGCTTTTGTTTGATTGCCCATTGCAAACAGCTGAGGGTCTGTAAATTTTAACAAGAAATCTGATTTTCAATTGGGATTGAATAATTTTGATTACAACTGTAATCAATGTTATTCTCTTTACTTGTCAGTGGTTTTAATGTTGTGGCCAATCAGTGTATAGTGAGACTATTACCAAATTACGAAAGGAGGAAATGAAGTTTATTTTTAATTTTAATACTCTAAAACCACATGGCCTTAATTCAGATTTCGAGTTATGTCACTTCTTTTAATTTTTTAATTTTGTAATTTTTGGTCTATTTTTAAGATTTGGTTTTTACAGGGGACCAGACAAATATTGAAATAATCATTTTCATATTCATATTTATCTACCATACATTTAAACCCTTGATTCCCATATTTAAATATATGGCAATTAAGTCTAGGACTAAATACTATTTCCAGTACTAATATATTCTTATCTCATTTTATAGTTATCTTGGTATATCATGTTTTATACATTTGTATTTAAATTAATATTGTATCAATAAGATTATTTTAAGGAAATGCACTCTCGTATAGATACAGAAGACACACTTTAAATACATTTTAATATCCAGGGAAACATAATATTCAGTTATAAAATCACATGTAATTATAACTCAGTTTTATTACTGCTATTGTCCTCTGTAAGTAGTAAACGATATGGGACTGTAATATTTATAACTGTATCTACACTGTTTATAATTCGGATAGAGATTACTCAGTTGGAACGCACATTAGATACGTTGTGCGTTCCAGAGGTGCAAGGGTCGCAATAATTGATACGTCACCCTGTGCGACCCGGAAGTGGAGTGCACGACGTGCAAATTGGAATGCACGTTGCGTTCCACGTGCACACAATGCTGAAGCCCGGAAGTAACGAGTAGAAGAGCAGAATCCGGAAATGAACGCCAGTAACCAGGTACATAAAGCCAAGAAGACTCACCACAACACCACACCGACTGAGGAAGCCCCCATAGGGGCGAAACGCGTATCGGTACTAATACAGAAGCTACCAAGGTACCATTTGGACTTTTTTACATATTGGACTTATTTTTATCTGGACTTTATGTTTTGACAGTACTCATATATAGATATACATCAGATATCTTTTTATTCATCTAAGCATATAGACATATGTGCTTATTTTTTCAATAAAGAATTGTTTATCTCTGAAAAAACATCTTTTCATCTATTACTTCCACTAATTCCATCAGGAAGCAGGATTGAGGAGGTCCTTAAAGAGTCCTCTTGTGCAACTCATGAGAGCCTTATGATTTTATTTGGTTCCATGTTTGGGAGTATCAATATTTGATCCTATATTATTTATTTCACTCCTGCGGTATTACCCTATGTGATATATTTTCTCTACAGATTCGCTCAAAGTGTTCCACCTACTGTATGTATTTATATAATACAATACATATAAAAAATAAATAATACATTCATAAAATGCATTCATACTCTTGCTCATGGGGCCGTTGTGGGAGGGGGAAATAAAGATCAAAGCTGTTTTACTAAATGAATCACAGAAAGAGCATTATAAAAGCTAATAAAATATTTTTGCTTAATGTCATAGATGTGTGTTGTCAGAGATTATGGGTCTATATATTTCTTCCAGGCTAACCACCTGGGCTAAATTTTTTCAACTGTGTCTAATTATATACAGTTGTGCCTAACAGTTTGCATACCCTGGCAGAAATTGTGAAATCTTGGCATTGATTTTGAAAATACGACTGATCATGCAAAAACGTTTATTTTATTTAAGGATAGTGATCATATGAAGCCAGTTATTATCATATAGTTGTTTGGCTCCTTTTTTCAAATCATTATGATAACAGAAATCACCCAAATGGCCCTGATAAAAAGTTTACATACTTTTGAATGTTTAGCCTTGTTACAGACACAGAAGGTGACACTCACAGGTTAAAATTGCAATTAAAGGTTAATGTCCCACACCTGTGGCTTTTTTAATTGCAATTAGTGTCTGTGTATAAATAGTCAATGGGTTTATTAGCTCTCACGTGGATGCACTAAGCAGGCTAGATACTGAGTTAATGGGAGCAGAAAAGAACTGTTGAAAGACCTGCATAATAAGGTAATGGAACTTTACAAAGATGGAAAAGGATATAAAAAGATATCCAAAGCCTTGAAAATGCCATTCAGTACTGTTTAATCACTTAAGAAGTGAAAAATTCAGGGATCTTTTGATAGTAAGCCAAGGTCAGGTAGACCAATAAAGATTGCAGTCACAACCACAAGAAGAATCGTTCAGGATACAAAGAAAAACCCACAGGTAACCTCAGGAGAAATGCAGGCTGCTATGGAAAAAGATGGTGTGGTTGTTTCAAGGAGCACAATGCGACGATACTGGAAGAAAAATGAGCTGCATGGTTGAGTTGCCAGAAAGAAGCCTTTATTGTGCCAATGCCACAAAAAAAGCCAAGTTACAATATGCCCGACAACACCTTGACATGCCTCACAGCTTCTGGCACACTGTAATTTGGACTGACAAGATCAAAATAGAGCTTTATGGTCACAGCCATAAGCGCTATGTTTAGAGAAGGGTCAACAAGGCCTATAGTGAAAAGAATACCATCCCCACTGTGAAGTATGTTTTGGCATGAGCTATAAAGGCATGGGGAATCTTGTGAAAATTGATGGCAAGATGAATGCAGCATGCTATCAGAAAATACTGGCAGACAATCTGCATTCTTCTGACCCTAAGAACAAGGCCTAGTTGACCCTCCAGTGGTTACAGCAGAAAAAGGTGAAGGTTCTGGCCATCACAGTCTCCTGACCTTAATATCATCAAGCCACTCTGGGGAGATGTCAAATGTGCGGTTCATGCAGGACGATCAAAGACTTTGCATGACCTGGAGGCATTTTGTCAAGACAGATAGGCAGCTATACCACCTGCAAGAGTTAGGGGCCTCATAGAGAACTATCACAAAAGACTGCACGTTGTAACTGATGATAAAAGGTGCAATACACAGTATTAAGAACTAAGGGTATGCAAACTTTTGAACAGGAGTCACTTTTTTTTGCCATATTTTGTTTTGTGATTGTGCCATTCTGTTAGAACCTACAACTGAATAGGAATCCCATAAGAAATGTGTTTTGCCTGCTCACTCATATTTTCTTGAAAAATGGTACATATATTACCAATTCTCCAAGGGTATGCAAACTTTTGAGCACAACTGAATAAGCTGCGTTCCATCCTGTATTGGTAGAAGATTTGATTGCATATAGATGGCCAATTTAGATTAGATTTCCAATTACAGACTATAACAGTGGTTCCTAAACTTTTTAGGTTCAAGGAGCCCTTAATATTTCAATATTTTTCCAAGGCGCCCCAAGTCAAAATTTCTAGGTGTCAGGATCTTACCTGATGTGGAGCAGGAATATGCTCCAAGATGCAGTACAGGCAAGGACAAGTAGAAGAGTAGGCATGGAAAGCCGAAGTCAGGGAAAGTCAGAGATCAGAGTAAACGAAGAAATAAGCAAAGGTCGGAAGCAGTCTGGAGAACACTGGATCAAGAACACAATAACAGGAAACAGAGTCAATGAACTGACACTGCCCTCAGAGAGAGGCAGTGTTATATACCTGGCTAATTAGCAATATGCTTCAGGTGGACCGAGATTGATAGGAGCAGCCACAGGAAAAGTCCAGCCCCCCGTGCTGGAGACATAGCCAGGTAGAACAGGGCTAGAAATACTCCAACGAATAGGAATCACTGTGGCTTAAAGGTAGTAAAGCAGACCCAGGACAGCGAAGTACCCAGGTTTAAATCCCCTGTTGGGCACTTCTGGGGTGACCATGTCTTTCCGGATGTCATGGTGAGAACTTCCTCTGGGCATGAACAGGCTCTTTATAATTGCAGTACTCCTCATCTGTTTCACTATCCAAATCAAGAAAGTCCTTGAAGTCAAAGTCCCCAGAGTGGAGTCCCTTATCAGTGTGAGGCTCCATAGTACCAACTTCTGGCACAGCTAGAGAGCAGTAAAGTTGTATATGGTGCATATATTGGTGATGTAGTGTAATATATAGTGTTGATATTTGAAGGGGTGCTTGTATATAGTTTTAGTTTTTTAATACAGGGGAGTGTTTGAATGTAATGTTCGATTTTAAATGTGGATTTACATTTGTGTGAAGTATATGCGTTTGAGTGAAGGTTGAAGGTAAAGGGGTGTGTTTGTAAATCATTTTGGAGTTTGAATGAAGGTGCGTGTTTGCATGTTGTGCTGGTGTTTGACTGCTTGGATGTATGCACATTACCACATACATACGTATATATACTTACACAGATATACATGCACATTAACACAGAGATATATATAAATATACAAATACATACACACACGTAGATACACACACCAACACATACACACACCTTAACACACGCATACACCGACATATACACATGTACATATATATATATATATATATATATATATATATATATATACACACACAAATGCACACTCATACAAGCAGATACATGGACCATGACACACACAAACTCTGACACATGCACGCACTGACAAAAAAAACACACACCCTGACACACTGATGCACACCCTGACATATAAATGCACATACACAGATGCACATCCTGATACACAAATGTGTGCGCACACACACACTGACACAGATACACACAGAAGCACGCTGTGTGGCAGGATGTGCATCTCTCTCTGTGTGTGTATATATGTCAGTGTGCATCTGTGTGTATCTGTGTCAGTGTTTGTGTCTTTGTGTGTGCACACATCCAGGATGTGCACCTGTGTATGTACATCTGTGTGTCAAGGTGTGCATCAGTGTGTCAGGGTGTGTGAGTGTGTGTGTGTGTGCATCAGGATATGTCACACACACACCCTGACACACACACACACACACACTCATAAACCCTGACATACACACACACACACACACAATCTGACATAAACACGTACAAGTGATATTTTTTCTATCTGCTGTCACCCTCCTGTTAGCTTACCTTATGTGGCCAGGAGGGTTGCTTGATTGGAGTCCTGGTCCTGCTGCTGCTGGTGGGAGTGAGGGTCTGGAGAGGCTCTACATGCTCCTCTCTCCTCATGTTGCCTCTGTAGCTGCCTCGTTTCCCTCCCGCACTTTCTCCCTGCACAAAGCTGGGAGGAAGTGATAGGATTCAAGAGAGCCCAGGATAAGCTCTTCGATGTTGTCGGGCCGCTCGCCCGAGTTCTGACCCTAACCCATGAGGCATACACCTAGGCTTACTCCTGAGATGTTTTGCTTCCTGGGCAACACAAATGTGGCCCTCTTTTTGTAGAGACGCCAGAGAGATTCAGAATTGATGGCAAATTTGTAGCCCTTGGGGCTAAAGAATTGGGCCCACAGTCATGAGGAAATTATTCGGTGAGCCTTTCATTAAAGGCTAATGCTTAGAAGAATCTGCTTAACCCTTGGGGGTCACAGGTTCAATTCCCCAGCAGGGTTGACTCAGCCCTTAAGCCCTTTGAGGTAGATAAAATGAATACCATTAAACTGGGTACAAGTTACATCAATAGGATGCACTTGAAAACCATAAATATCTGAATGTCTCTTTCCTGGTTAAACATTTTTACATACCACCATTTCAAGAAGGAAGGTATCCATCTATTGTGGCACCTACGTCAAGGAGGAGACTGGTTTACCCACCTTGACTTAAAGGCACCTACCTGCCTGTACCAGTAGACACCGGCAGTCGTCCCTCCTTACGGTTCCTCTGGAATGGGACACTATGGAAATTCACCTGCCTCCTCTTTGGGCTCAGTTCAGCACCACAGTGATTTACTGACGTTTCTGAAACTAGTAATGGCTCACTTACGAGGTTAAAGCATACGATGCCTGGCTTTCCTGGATGACATTCTACTCTCTGACCAGAATCGCAACCACCTTCTTTCACCGGTATTCATGACGTAAGAAATCCGACAAGAACTTCAATGGTGGCTCGACGATATGCATGTCTGGAATTGAATGAAAGGGAGATCAGATTGCTGTATACTGCAATGCATGGACAATATCTCCACAGTTCGTCTTAGGTGGCATTTGTTCTCAGACACTGACACACCTCATGAAGGAAATCTTTGACTATGGCCTGCCATGCAATACCACATTGATAGTGGAACATCTTCCAGAGGAAACCTCTCAACACTGGAGGGACAATCATGATTGGCACGTAGCTCCACACATATTGGCAACACTGAACAACCTCAGAGGTCCGCTCACAATCGACTTTTTCGCGTCTAGCACCACCCGCCAACTACCGATTTTCTACAGCTGATTACCAGACTGGGAGGCTGCAGTGGTAGACACATTCCTGCAGGCATGGCCAAACGAAGGGGCTTACGCATTTCCACCCTTTGCAATGATCACGAGAGTGGTTCACCACATCAGATCCCTGGAAGTGGCAAGCCCCCTGGTGATGCCCCGGTGGCAGAGTCAACCTTGGTTCCCAGATCTTGCACTGTCATACCAGGACCCTCCGCTATTAACAGACGATCAGATGATACTCACGGATTCCATGGGGAATCCTCATCCCATGCTACAAGAAGGACATCTCTCTTTTGTGGCCTAGAGTCCTTTGGATTTGGATGCACCGATGACTTATCATCAATAGCTAGAGATATACTCTGGAACTCAAGGGCCCCTGGAACGAGGAAGTGTTACCTCTCAGCTTGGAATTCATGGGTCAATTGGGCGGATTTTGGACAGTCGAGCATTCCACGTGGACGTCTTCTCGTTTTCTCCGGATGGTGTCACACTTCGGGTGTCTCGATGTACAAGACGGACTCAACGTAGTTTTTTTTAACCCATTTTTTCCATTGCAACCCAACTTTACGTGGTCCAGACACTGCATGCCTACGTACGGCTCGGGCCACGCTACGATTACCTCACCCCAACAATTATTGGTGTCCTACGTTAAGCCACATGGGCAAATCTTGGTTACCACCTTGACCCGCTGGGTATGCTGGCTTATATCTCTTGTTGAGATTGACCCTTCCTTCGGCGCGGACTTGGTTTGGGGTGTGGCGGCCTCTTCCGCCTTCACAGCAGGGGCCTCCTTATCAGATATATTGCTCTCGGCAGATTGGTGACGAGAACCCACCTTTCGGACGTTTTACAGTCGCCCGTCCTCCATTGTCGCTTTCTCTCTATTACCTTAGCGTTAAAAATGCAAAATATGAAGCCTCCTGTCATGTGATAAAATTGAAGATTATTCTAGCTTTAGTGTACTAATAATCTTAATTGTAATAATGACAGGATACAAGTATTTCCCCCCCTATTGAATTTCCCTCCCATTCAGGTGGGTTTGCATCTACAGGTTGGTGATGGTATATTATGAATATGGTACTAGTCGTTTTCTTGTGACTACGTAAATGACTCTATTCACTCTAGATGGAAAGTTGGGGTTGTTTTTCACATATAGTTGATATATGTATAGATATTCTATATTAGGTAGCTATATTATGAAATGTATGTTATATTTTATAGATCACGATAGATTGTGATAGTACCAAATTATTGCGCACCTTTTACATGAGGGTTACTCATATTGTTCAGGTTTACATTTCATATCACTAAAACACTCTCGGTCTCTTTCAGCTTAAAAGACACAAAGAGATCTTCTACATCAAGTGTACAAGGATATTAGTTGTTCCCAGTTTTTAATGAATCCAACTGTTCTTCATCGTTCCTGGAATTTGAACTGTCTTAGTTATTCCGTATGGTTCTTCAGTTGATCATGTGACTTGTGTTGCCGCCGTTATCAAGAGGAAGTGACTCAGTGGAAGGTGTATCTTATACTCTCTGCCTGTCTCTGATTAGTTCACTTCCTCCCAGCTCGGTGTGATGTAATCACAGGGGGCCCAGTCGTGCTGTTAAAGCGCTCAGCACTGATCGGGGCCCCCTTACAATCCACATCCATCGGGTGGCCCTGACAGCATGGGCCACCCGATGGACCCCTTGGACAGCAGCCCCAGAGGTTTGCAGTGTGGGCCGGGGTCACAAATGGTGACGGCGGTACCCGGTCGCAGGTGTACAGCCGGCTCGCACCCGCCCGCCAGCCCAGTCTCTCAAAATGAGGAAATCCCTACCACCCACCTGGAATCCTGAAACGCCCACTAGTGGGCGGTAAGGACCAGGTTGACAACCCATGGTCTAAATGGTTGCAAGGCTAAAGAGTTTCTCTAAGAAGAATACAACAGAGTAGTTCCCTGGCAGAGAAATTAGATTTGTTGCTGGTTCAAGCCTAACAATGCAAAATTAAATTTAGCTTGCTTTCACTTGGGGTTGGGAGGGAAATAATTATCCAACACAATGAGAGAATGTAGAGAAAACTCTCTTGTAAGGCAAAGTTTAAAATATTAGACTTGGAGATTTGTTTAGTTACAACCTGCAATTTGTCCGAATTTGGGCTGATTCCATGAATGTCCGAATTCCTGATCCCAGAACCCCCATATAGACTAATCAAGATGAAACACCAAATGCGAGAAATTTGCCCACTATGAAAATTTCTTTATTTTCGGACAAAGTAGTTTGGCCAACATTAATTATTCCACAATGCACAAGTCTACTAAATATGGTACAATAAAAATTTGCATTCCATTGACTTCCACAGTAAATGACATGTTCCATGATTAAAACATTGGATGTCAATTGATCTTTATAAAACATCCCTTAAAAAAATGATTTCATTAGCTTATAGAAACATATTAGGTACTAAACATTTTAATGGACACCTGTGGAAACATGCAGAAAAAAATAATTTTCTTTAACCAGAAAAAATTGAATTCTATGAATATCTCAGCTGTATCATATCTTATTCTTTTTTTTTTTTTTTTTTTAAGCGAAAAGAATAGATGAGCCATGTACTAGCACAGTGGTGACCTGACCTTATTATATAATCTGTTCATTAAATCTGGAAGATAAGCACAAAGAACACTTCTCTACTGCAGAGAATTGCGTTAAATTGAAGATTTCTGCAGAATCTAAATTAGAAATAAGATTTGGAACACTGTTATTCTTATTTTTGTTTTTTACTAACAATACGCATTCATTACACCCTGTGTGTTTGCTGTTCTACATGATTCACATTGACAGTGATTAATAGTCATTAGTTTAAATATCTGAATAATTGCAAGTGATGTCCATTCTAAATTACCTCTGCATGAACATCACATGGTTTGAGAAATTTATTTTGTTAGTTTAACATTTATGTGATGACATTCTTATGTAAAAATGTCTTATGTCAATTAAAATAAAATGTGACTCAAATGAAATCTGAATGCACAATTTATCAGTGAACCTGTTAAGTAGAGAGCTGCCCAATAGCTATTCATATCTAACAGGATTCTTAGAATTAGGTTAGATAAGTAGCCGATCTAGGAAAATATCACAGCTACAGAGGAAGACAGTACGATGATCCAAGATATCAAATTGACATTAAATCGTGTAAATATCACATTCTGTCTACAGACACAATTACTAAGCCATATTTTATGCAATCAAACTAGGATAAACTGTTGGAAACAATTAATGTCCCATTCTAAAATACCTCTCTAGTGTTATCAGCAATATCAAATTAACATTTACAAAAACACCAATGTTGCACTCTAGAATATTGGGCGACACATAGCTTGGTCTGGTGAATCTTGCCTTCTGCTGGGATATGAAGATTATTGGGTATGGATATGTCACAAGCAACATGAATTTATAGAACTATCTTGCCTTGTGTCAATAGTTCAGGCTGATAGTAGTGTAATGGTGTTTGAGATTTTTTCATGGCATATACAGAAACACAGGATTAATTCATAAAAGATAAGTGCAGAGAGATTACATAAACCCTTGAATGCTTTTGAAAAAGGATCAGTCATATGGGCTTTA